AAAATTAGGCATAGAGAAAGTCAAGTTATAGCATCAATTCATTAACTGAGTGCTGTCAGTAGAGAAACATATATACCTATACGATTATCGTAAACACTAGTTAGAGTAGTTGACATGAAATGACTTGAAAGCTATTGTAACAGGAGCGAATACTGTACATACTTTATGTCACTGAACCGGATTTTGATTTTGAAAATAAACTAACACACTTTGTTTTACAAATTTATGCCTTTTTTTTGCTGTCATTATATTCTTTGTGTATTACTTGTTTTATTTTTTTTTTTCGTTTACTATTACACTTGATACTAGTTCCATTACTGTATATATGTCAACTATGATCGATTAAAATTTTTTTTCCACTCGGATTCTATGTTGTTTTACTGAAACTAGTAGGATAAATTTAAATGGTGATATTTTAAATTTTAATTAAATTATGATCAGTTTTACTCACCATAGGTATATATGCATCAATCTTTGTTTACAAATTTTTAATAGAATATAATATTTTCATTATTGTTGAATAAATTTTAACCAGTTAACTTCATAGAATGATATCGATATTTTATTAGAGGTTTTTTTTCTTAACTAGAACGGATAAATAATTTAACTACCAACAAAAATGTTCACTTTTTTAGTAATTAATGATAAATATTTTGAGAAATGGATGATATAGCAAAGAAAGTAAGCAGTCAGAACAAAAGATAACAATAGAAAACAAGAAAATAACATTCAAATCAATCTAGACAGAATTGATTTGTAAGAGATTATTATGCACGCATAATGATAACATTCAATACACTAAGATGATATGATACAAATTAAGTTGAATTATGCAACTTATATTAATTACTTAATATAAACACAAATATATTACGGGGTTGTGAAGATCATTCAGTTACTCATCGAAATCATGCATCGATCAATGTTAGACCACCATTAGCAACCTGGAAGCACTGGATGGCCGTTTCGTTCTGGTATGGGACTCATCAGCAGTGCGCATCCACAACTCCTGAATCCCATATCAGGACGAAACGGCCGTCCAGTGCTTCCAGGTTGCTAATGGTGGTCTAACATTGATCGATGCATGATTTCAATGAAAAACACAAATAGTAGTAGCTAGATCCTATACAAAGTCAATGAAAGGTAAATACGTTAAAGTGGCAAATCGAAGGAGTTGCATAATACGGATTTGATAATATTGATTATAGACTTACGAACAATTTCTAGAAATAAGTTTGACTTGGTTTCAATTAAACAGCTGTTTTAAAACTATTTCTTTTTATTTAAACAAAAAATTATTGGTACAAAGAGGGACCAAAGTATAAACGCGCGACATGAATCGTTAAATCTGTATGTGGGCTGGTTTACCGTTCGGGTGCCCAAACCAAAGTAGAGAGTTTGCTTAGAGAGCTACTATTCGAGCATTCGACGCAGAAATCTAATCCATAAGTCAGTGGAACAATGTTAGGAGACCCAATCACATTGGTAGCCAGTGGTCAACAATCGGTTCACACGATATTTGTTCTATTGAAATTCGGGAACCGAAGTGTCCAATTGGTTTGCAGTGAGAGCTTTCTGAATCCCCAATGTGGATGCTATGTACCCACTAACCCGGTTCACACAAATTATGGTGAAATAGAGTCGTCAAAAACAAAAAGCTACGATTACTTTCATTAATACATTAGCAGTTAGGTTAATATTATGACAACCCCAACAAGAGCTCAGAATATTATTAAACATTACTGATCTACTACTACTCTGAACTATGTATATTATTGGAGATTAACTATTATGGTTGCCACCAGTTGATATGCTTGAAACTATTACGAGTTCATCTTAGTCAGTAAACGACACGATAGGCTACTCTAATCCGAGAATTCAGAATCAGCAAAATCTCTATAATACTCAATAGGATCATGAAATGAGCATTACCACTAAGTCCTAAGTTACATACTACAACGAAATAATAGTCCAGTATTTTGTAGTTTTCAATCAATTTCTAGGCTTCGATTAGTCATTTATGATGTAAACCAAAGCAAGAATAGCCAGCAAGTAATTCTACTGACCTAAAAGACTGAAAAAAAAACGAAATAAAATCAATACAAACAAAAACATTTTTTTCAACAGAAAATGTTTTTTTACTCTACGAGTCTAAAAATAATCAAATGCTAAAAAAGGTAGAAGAAAAAATAAACTACTTGAATAAATTATATGATTATTTATTCATTTCCCTCTTTGCATTGAAAATTCAATTATCTTCTAAGAGGACAAATATGAATCGTGAGAAATAATTGAATAATAATAAAAAAAAGCTTAGAAGAACAACTGATGAATAATGATAGTAGTTAAATTAATCTTTAAATATGTTTATAGTTATTAATTAAGAAATGTATGCCTAAAGAATAAGAAGGCAGATGAGGTGAAACAAGGAAGTAGACTGTTAACACAAACAATATAACCTTGCAATTTATTATATTTCACTAGCATTATTTATTATATAATCACTGAAATACCAATTCACAAAATCCAATGCGTTTTTCAAGTCTTTAAAGAATAAATCAACAAAATTATTCATATCCATGATATTGTCGACTGAGTTCTAATTTTTTCTTTCCCACACGAATAATTTGTGATTTTTTTTTCATTGTACATTTTGTGTTAATTGATCTGTTAAGTATGCGATATGATGAGTTGTACAGTTCAAAACATTATTCCTAGAGTACTAATGTGAAGCCATGAGTGAAGGAGTTAAACTATGTCACACCGTAACATAATTATTCACCTAAGGGCAATAGGAGTCAGTTGATAAACAGTTATTTGATTCAAGAATGGAACTCTTAAGTCTACATAGTCCATAATCATGGCAAACTTTTTTGAAACTAACAATCATAATATTAACAAAGCAATAAATAATAACAAAAAAACTGTTCATATGATTTTAAGATGATGAATAATAGAGAATGACGTTTTAATGGAATAGTGTTTTGAGAAATGAACGGTTTAATTGTGAAGATTTCTAAACAAATGTCATTCATCAATAAGCACTGCGAACAGAAGTGAGTTATAAGCATTTGTTTTTATACAACTGACAACTTGTTCTATCAGTAGTAATGTCGATTCGCAGAACGTATCTCCACTTGGAATACGAAATAGACAAGTTAAATTATTAATCAATAACTAGATCGGAATTAATTAAGTTTAGTAATCAGTTATAAATTTAGAAGTAAAGCGAAAGACAAAAGAGATAGAAATAAATATGAAGAAAATTTCTAGGTTAAGTGAATAATAATCTGACAGTTACTTTTAAAGATAGTCTCATAGATTAATTCTATCCGGATTTTAATAGGATGATGATGCTTTCAGTAAAAAATAATGCAAACTTCACGATCAAACTATCACACTGAAAAGTACAACTTAACCAAAATTACTTACATGCAAATTGATGAGTTGCATAACGTGGTTTAAATGACGGTTCAACTGATGCACTTGGTGTTCTTGACGCTGACACTGGATCTAAATAAGTTTGTGAACGTGATCGGCGTTTACTTTCAGCTTCTTCACGAAGAATTGCCTGTAAAATTTTGTTTTTTTAAAAAAAAAATACATTTCCAAAAATTAATGAGAATATCATGTAGATGAGTGTGTAAGGTAGGTTTAGAGGGTTGGCGAGAAACCCTGAATTGAGATTTTAGTTCAATAGGCACTCATCAATAAGGTGTACCTGAAATCTTCAGAGGATTGATAATCTTCCAAGTATTCAACTCCGTGTGATTTAGTCTTATAGTTTGAGAATTCAGTAGTGACCATATTTCAATATGATCGACATGCTATGCATCCAGTATGGTAGCTTTTTTATATCACTGCTAAATAACTAAAACATTTTTAGGTCAATATCATGTATATTTCCAATAAATGTCCGCGGGCCGTTAGAAATATAATTTTCAAACTTCATTTTTCATCACATCAGAATACATATTTTTCATTGTAATATCTGTAACTGCATAAATATATTTTTCACATTTCATTATCAATTTAGTGTGTTCTGTTACCAGACAGTGAAGTTTATGTACAATTAGTAGTACATGAAAAATATTTACATTGTAAGTGAATTATTCAAGTTTTGAATATTTCTGTTTATTAGCTAATAATTAAATGTTTGCTGCTAATTTATAATCGACATACAGGAGAGAATTGAATTTATTTGATTTTGCTCTGTAGTAGTTATTCGATAAAAATTCTACAAGAAATCATGTTTACTTACTATTTCAATAATGATTAGACTTATTCTTGCAAATAAAAATAATATTTCTCCTTGCTATAACAGATACACTATTCTATTCGAATATGAAACAAACTTATCTGTGTTTCGGTTTGGTCAACTACGCAATATCCTAGTCCATTCATAAATTCAATAATTTGTGTGCTACATACCTACCTATTTAGGTGACCAAGAATTCTATTCATTAATCTTAGATTATAAATGATGAGTATAATTCATTTGACATTTATTGGTGAATGTTTTTCACATCACATGATTTACTGAATTACACATTATTTTGTTTTTATTATTACTATTTATTATGTATTTTAAAATTGATACCATTAAATATACTGAAATAACAAATTATTCCTCAACAAAGAATAAAAAATAGTTTCAGACTACAGGATTACTGTACATTTTTCAGTTGTACATTATCCTAATCGCATTTTACAATTAACTAGATTTCAATGCACTTCAAATGGCTCCTAATATTAAGGGGATATTTATTTGTACGATGTTCGATCGACTATCACAATAATACACATCCATATATTACAGTATAATGACAAACTGACATTATTCCATAAATGAAATAGTCGTACTTCTCTGCATAATCTAGTCTGCTTTATGAATTGTCGATATACAGTTCAGTAAACTTTGAGGCCTGATAAATACAATTCGAAAATGTCCTGGTTCAATCATCGTGTCAAAACTCAGTTATGGGCTAATTACAATAGCTTTTTTAAACCTGCTCATTTAAATCATTTCGTATTTTATACTCTCCATTACTTTCTACTCCTATATAATAAAAATATTGACGGATATCTAATTTTTTTTTTTGTATGACTTGATTAGTACAGAGATATAGCTAAAAAAACAGACTACTCAACATCAGTGAAACAATTTTCAGGACATTTTAAAACAAGTGATTTTCGAATGATAAAAATTCCATATTCAATCAAAACTAAATGATTTGCTATGAAATTCAACTAACCATATCTTACATTGCAATCTATTTAATAATTTGTTTCGTCGAAAAGTGTAGCCATGGTGAAACTGAGCATACATTTCATTTAACATTTTAAACCAATCATTAATTCACTAAAGTTTATGGTCACATGCACAAAATTTATGCTTATGGCTATAGCAAAATAAAAAGCAGTCGGTTCAATATCAATTAATCATCATTCGTTTAAGCTGACTAAATAATTTGACCAATCATAAAACACTTAAACCAATTGCCTTCAAACTGACTTGACCTTGGTTTGACCGAGAATTATAGTCTGTCTATAATTTATGCGTCAATCATACCATAAATCGATAAAGCAATGTGTTTTATTATTTATTCGAAGCATACGTGACCTGCCTTATTATCCGCATCTTAAACATTCGATGTTTCACGCAATTTTTCTTAAAATAGAAAGATTATTTTAAAAATTATCAGAGATAACTGAAGAAAATATCCGTTGAGAAATTCAATGTTTAATTTTTAATTCTTAATCTTTAGTGATTTCAAGTTAATTCTACACTAATTAGGAAAAGGTTCAAATTAGACAACCTAATAAAATTGTTGATTATAAGGGTTTTTTTTCTATTTCAAGTATACAGAAGTACTACTTGTTATAGACGAATTCCTCGACGCTTATTTCACGTATAAGTAAGGTGATATGTTCGTAAATGGTCAAGTGACTGCTGGAAGTTTATTAGTATTCTTTTTTCTTTGTATTACTGTTGTTGGTTATGCTTAGCCAAATCATCGTTGATTTTTTGTGTAGAAATGATGTGCTGATCATTTTGTTGATAACAATAATAAAAGTTTTCAAACCATTAATATGAGATACCAATTCTCAATATTCCTAAAAAAACTGAAACTATTTCCATTTCAGATGGCTGAGATTTTGGTAGAACAGTGAGAAGACGCAATTGATCTGAGATTTTGTTGATACTAAACTATAGTTTATTGTTTTAACGAATAGGAATTTGAGGCAGAAATGTTTAGCTGTGTCAAAATTAATTTAATTTTCAGTATCTCATTGTTGATATTTTGACTGAAGTTTGATCAGTCAGATTTGACATATGTTCATTCCATGTTGATTGCCTTGAAATAGTTATTTTGTCACAAGTTTTAATAAAATAATGTTAACGACGAGACTCAAACACAGTATTTTACACTTTGAAAAACAATACATTATCCATTTAGCTATTGAGTTCAAATAGCCTCTGATTTTTGCAGCGGGTATGAATTTTAATTTATTTCTTAATGCTCCAGATAACGCCATTTTTTAGCTAAATTTTTGTTTCCAAATATTGGGTTCGAATCTATGAATGAATATGAAATTTGAGATTCATGTACATACTACTGACAAATAGGGCGAAGTGTGTGTACCAAATATCACAGCTAGTCATAATTATTAAACGATAAAAAGTGTATAATGTGATGCGATCACCAAGTTTTATTATGACTGAGAACAAACGAATTCTCAGATAAAGAAATTATGAAAAAAACGCAAGAGCTGGACAGGACATATATTGCAGAAATCACAAGCCTGCTAATGCTCCATGAGGGGTAAGAGGCATAAGTAAGTATAAGCTGTTTGGCATGATGTCAACTAGTTTGCCAAGAAAAAAGTAGCACATAACTAACCAGTATGGGGGGTTTGTAGAGATTGATATTACCATTAAAATCACTAAGTGATCTTAACCAGACTACCAATGAGAACTTAGAAGCACTGAACGGCTGATTCATCCTAGAATGGGACTCATCACTAGTGCTCATGCACGACCTCACAGGGTGGATTCGAAACCAGAACTTAAGGTCATACACACAGACGCTTAACTGAAGATCACTGATCCCGTATTCAACAGTCTTAAGGTTGAATTTCAAATAACCAACAATCTTGCGCAACTCTTCATCCATTTTCTGCAGCAGATAACTGTCTCATACCTACTGGTCAAGGATTTTCAATACAAATCCAGGAGAGAATCATGAAGCATCCAAGTTTTTGGTGGTGCAATAACTAAGTTCAGTTCCTGATTTAAACTGTGAAAAAGTATAACTAATTCACAGGAAATGAAAATGAGACGTACTCGCATACGTGCATGAAAAAAACACGTATATTTACATCCAAATAAGTTTGTCATCAACATTTACACTAGTGTTTATCGTCTGCCTGTATATATGTTTGAAAAATAAATCGAAAGAAACCAAAACATAACAACCAACACGGTGAAAGGAGAAAAAGTTTATTTTTCATTATATTACGAAAACAAGATTGATTTATTTTTCATTGCCTAAGCCGTTTTTTTCTAGTTCATAAGTGAAGAAACCAAACAACTGGAAATTCCAAATGAAATTCGGAAAAAATGCAAACAATATTGATTATCAGTTCAATTAAAGAATTGGTATGAACTCAATGCTTTACTTGAACTGAATTAGTTGTGACATGTGTTACGAATGTCCAACCACCGACTGACTCATCGAACGATGTTTTGTGGTGTAGGGAGAGGTTGGGAGAAAGCTAAGGGCTGCCAAACCAAAACATCGCACAAATCTATGAAGTCATTGACAAGTGAACTGAGTCATGCTGGTAAGTGTAGATTACCTGGTTTGAGTCCGCAAGATATTAGTAATCGTTGGTTAGAGACCTTGAATGATATGGCTCGGAATCGTTTGCAATGTCACCGATGCATCCATTCTTTGTGTTCTCTCAAATTGTAATCTTCTGAATTCCTCATGACCTGTTTCCTCCCTTTAAATTTACCTAACTGGACTAAACTTCTCACATCATATGCTCGATCTCTAGTGTTCTCTATTACATTGAATTCCTCTATTTCTACTACCTCTACTACTATGGGATTTGAATTGACAATTGCATCTTTGTGTTAATGTGGTATGGCAACTTGAATTGAAATGCGTACGTACGAAGTTGTATGTTGTAGCTGGCTGACTGAGTATTGATGCTACTGTAGTTTTCTATAAAGTCTTCATAACCGTTAGATGAACACTCACCATATACTGTTATTGTTCATTTGTTTGTCGATTCCACTTCTTTTACTACTTCATTTTTTCAAAATTTTATCATTTTATTTATATGATACATTTTAGTTTTAGTGACATTTTTGAATAGAATTTATGTTCAATAAATGAACAAATCAGTATGTTACTAGCTGACGCCGATTCAATCAGTAAACTAAAAGCTAAACACCAACAGAGCAAAGTTTATCCTTAATTATCTCGATGATTTAACGAATATGTTGTACTTTGAAGCATTTTTACGTATTTTTCGTGTTGAGTTACTGAACGTGTGCTTCACATTATAAACAGTTATTGACATCAACAGATTTTATTTCAAGTATCAGAAGTTACCAATAGCTGTTTTTTAATTAGCATCTTTCTAGGGTTGCATCCTAACTACTATGATGTAAAACAGAATGTAGGGAAAGTTATGACTTAACATAAAATTTAATAAAAACTACACTGATTTCTCACTAAACAAGTTGAATAATTCCTGAATGCAATAGTTCTAGTATATTTACTGAACATTGAAAATGTTGAGAAAAATTTCAGCCCTAACCAGTTGTATAATTGTAGTTTTTTCTAACTATTTCACATCTATATCTGCTAATGATTTTATACAAAACGTAAACCTAGCAATCATATTGTCTTTTCTCTGTCATTCATAATGAACTTATTGTCTAGTTGTTTTTGACACTACTATAGTTGTGCCGATTTGACTGAAATAGACGAAAATGTGTAGCGTGTACTTACTAACGAATAGTTGAGAAGTAATTTTGACTTCAGTCCGAAACGAACTCGATCATGTTAAAATACTGTCTACAAAAACATATAAATGTGTTAGATATTGGATGGTAGTCATCAGATGTCCCTAACGACATGGCAGCAATATGATCTGTAGTCTAAATGACTCATTACTGAATTGACTATATTTTGATAGACAGAATTCGATTTGTAGCATAAACTATACGAACATTATTGACGACTACTCATTGATCAATCAATGTACATAAATAGGTCTGTTCTGTTTACAAATGAATTGAAAGATATTTTCACACATATTCATATGATCAATTTAGACTACTATTCTATAATATTGTTACCAATGCTATCTGTTTTGCTTCTGTCTGTATGTCATTACACGTCAATCTATTAACTTCATTACTGTATATGAATACTATTTGAATGCTCACGTATTCACAAACCTGAAGTTATCGAACACTGAGATATTAGTAGGTCACTTATACCCTTTATTGTTTTCTCTCATGTGATTATATCTAAGTAAAGCGTATCGATCACACCGCATCGTAAATGAAAAGATTTAACAAATTCGTTGTATGAAAGATACCATTTTTTAAAGCTAAGCAACATATATTTCTGACACAACGGGTTCGTGAAGGCTTTTGATTTTTATCACGAGCTGGCCTTAACTATGTTACCACTAAAAATTAGTAAACTCTGGATAGCTGTTTCGTCCTAGTACAAAACCCTACTGAAATCTGATCAAACGCGACCACACTGTCGGTTAAGCTTTAAACCTGCAAGTTTTGTAGCAAGTGCTTAACTTAAAAGACGCTGAATAATATTTTTAGGGCTATTCGATTCATCTTAGGCTAACTATTACACAACAATTAATGAGTCAATTGTTAGTTCAGACTTCACGCAATTTAAAATTATTCACAAAAACTACTATATGATACTAGCATTTTACCTAAAAATGTACGAATCAAATATTCAGGCAATGGATTATCTAATACTAGAACGAAACAGCTATACAATCCTCATTAGATCCAACTAAGTTTTCTCTTTGAATAATCAATTTGATAATTAATTTTTTCATTAAAAAGCTCAATAGCCAATATCTGTTTCATAACAATCAGTCAGTTACAACATAGAACTTCATACATACGCATATCAATTCAAGTTGCCATACCACATTAACACAGAGATGCAATTGTCAATTCAAATCCCATAGTAGTAGAGGTAGTAGAAATAGAGGAATTCAATGTAATAGAGAACACTAGAGATCGAGCATATGATGTGAGAAGTTTAGTCCAGTTAGGTAAATTTAAAGGGAGGAAACAGGTCATGAGGAATTCAGAAGATTACAATTTGAGAGAACACAAAGAATGGATGCATCGGTGACATTGCAAACGATTCCGAGCCATATCGTTCAAGGTCCGTAACCATTGGTTAGTATTGTCTCGCGGACCCCAACCAGCTAGTTTACATCCAACAACATGACTCAATCTACTTGTCAATGACTTCATGGATTTGTGCAATGTTTTGGTCTGGTCGCACCTAGCTTTCTTCTAGCCGACCACTACCTCGGAAAACATTGCTCATCGAGGCAGTCGGTGGTTAGGCAAACGCAACACGTTTCCCAACCACTTCAATCGATGAAATTTCACTACTTTGTCAATTGGTCTTCCGTCCTTACCTAGTACTCGTTACCCAATGGCAGCATTGCTTACTCGGTGGTGCCAGGATGTACAAGTAACGCTTGGAAGACACTAGGATACGAGGATCAACACTAGTCTCCATAATGAGCCATGATCGAAATCGTTTCATGCACTCTACAATCTAAACCGCAGTTTCATCCAGTATATCTTTCGCTTATACTGCACTGCCTAACTCTTCAGTTTTTCCGACTAGTTCTAATAAAGTTTTTGAATCATCGTCATCAGACAAAAACACATTGCTAAATGTTACCATCAGAGATACGACGGGGTTTGTAGAAAAGAAAAAAAAACAATTAAAAGTTGGTGAATGATCTACGGCAAAAAAAATAAGAAAACTGATTTTCAAAAGGAAAACAAACACTCACTTGTCCAATTCCTGTATGCTCAACAGAATGATCAGTTGTATCAGGAATACCATCGAAGGAATAATCAATACTTAATGCTTCTTGACTTTCTACATCATCAATATCACCGGAAAGTTGTGTGACATTTAAATGTGCTTGCTCTCTACGTCGCTGACGTCGTTCACGCACTAAGTAATAATAATGATAATGTTGGTTGGATAAAGAAAAAGGAAACAAAGCAAAAGTTAGAATATCCCATTAGAATACATATACATTCTATTAGTTTCTTTTCCAATGATTAATTGGAATTGAATGTATTTTTCCATAAATTACTTTTTTATTTATCAGAAAAATCGGTGCTTAATAAAAGGACGATGTACTGACAGATATATTTTAGTTTAGTATGCTTAACAGAAACTGGTTTTATTTTGAAATTGCATTCACTACAGATTAACCTTGGAGAAGCACTGAACAGTTGTTTCATTCTAGAGAGAGACTTTTCAGCAGTGTTCTTCCTGGACCCTGTCATGATCAGAGGGAAAAAAGCAAGGTTTTTCTGATATTTATACACTGTTGTAGTTAACATTGTATCCAGTTCAGTGTTTTAGTTGTATTGTGTAAGTAATCAATTACAATGGTAAATGTTACTTCACAACTATTTCTTCGACCTTCTGAAACCATAAACTAAAGGTTACAAAATATATACATTCATTGTGTACCCCAGTGACTATATCCATTTATAATTAATGATATAAAAGAATTGTCTTTTTCAATTTAGGGTTGTGGAGACTGATGACTTTCATTTAAATCAAGAATCGATCAGTGTTAGGTCACAACAGAAAACCTGGAATCCTTGGATGATCTTTCCATCCTAGTATGGGACTCATCAGTAGTGCCCATTCACAACTTCACAAGTGAAAATCAAACCTAGGACCTTCGGTCTCGCGCGCAACGCCTAACCTCTAGATCACTGAGCCGGTTTTTAACTGTATTAATGTCTAACTTAGATCAATCCACGTTACTGCAAAACAATCATTCATTGTTTTCGGTGGGCGACTGCCTCATATCCGAGACCGTTGGACTTCACTGGTTACGGTTTCTCACTAGAATCCAAAGAATTCCCTCTTGAAGTCAGTCACTAGTCAGCACATGATAATTATTGTGAACTAACCAATGTTTGACCACCATGGAAAGTCTGGACAGAATTTAACCGAAAAAATCGAATTGCATATCATTCAGATACTCAATTTAACTTTCAGTACATGGTGATTTTTGGAGAACAGTTGAAACATTTTTTAATAAATATTATTGATAATTATACAAAAGCGAATTTTCGGAAAGAAAAAAGGAATTTTCATACTAAGACGAAACAGCAGTCCGATGTTATCGACTTTTCAATAGCAATGCTATAAACGAAATATTTTGTGGATTATTAGAGGTTATAATTACCAATGAGTGTTTCAGATTAATTAACAGGGTACTTGAAATATAGTAATGGAAACTTGACTGCTAAGTTCTTCTTTTCAAGTTTAAAACTGTTGATAGAAACAAGGTTATCGCACCGAAAAATCAATCGATGTAAAGCTTGTTTCACTTCAATCTAAAGTTCATTGTGCCAACTGCAACCTAGAATTAATCAAAGCTTAGGATACTGGGAGATAATATATATATATATATATATATATATGAAGTATAGAGCCAATATTCAAGATTCTGATTGACAAATCTTTTCTAGATATCGATTTACACGTCATAACAGTTCTAATTTAGGTCAGTTTGCGGCCTGATGTTCACTAATATTTTATTACAATAATCTTTCCATCTCAAACAATTAGTAGTAAACCAAGCGGGACCTGGTTTGTATGTGTTAAGAATCAAGCTTTTATATAATATCAGCATAGGATGAAACTAACAAAAAATTTTTAGTGTAGTAGGAATAGTTTCTAGAAGAAAACAAAACGAATATGTGAAGTAAAAAACATTTAGGATAATATCTGAAAGTATACAAAAATTAAATGCATCTGTTCAGTTGGGTTAGATTCTGCACCATATCATTTCACATTTCTAAACATTGAATAGGATGATTGCTAAAACTCCAACCAGATATCCTTCATCTACCTACATGGTTCATTCTAACAGTTGATAACTTCATGAATTAATCACTCTTAGAGTTCACTTAGATTACTCTTTAACGGTAGCAGACTTTATGAGTCAAGGCACGTAGTAGTTCAGTTTACATACTACATGTCTCATTAGCTCCGATTTGAAACATACAGCTAAAACAAAGATGTGTATGGTAATATATTTCATTGTCTAATAAAGTTTAGTGTGTATAATACACATTTTAATCCCCACCATATGAATTCATAGCAAATATCACTGCAAACAATAACAACAACATATCAAGGTAAATTTGATTGTATATGACCGAAATAATCTAAAAGATGAATACTAAACAACACCCTTGTAGTTGTTGGTTGTATTTTTCTTCACAGAAAACACTTAAACAATAACAACTGTTCACATCATCATCATCAACAATTTGAAAAATAATAAAAATTTCTACATTCATGAATAGGTATTTCAGTTAAAGTACATATATATATATATATATATATATATATATATATATATATATATATAGGAAATTCTACTGTCAGTAATGAACAAAAAAATGAACTAACGAAAATAAAAGGAATTCTTTATTGCTTTTCTCTTATTGTCAAAAAACTTAAAATAGAGCGCAAGAAGATAATAGTAACAGGGTATTTGTAAAATGTATACATGAATTGTTAGACACTTAGAAAGTAAACAGAGTTTCAAACTAAAAATTTGACTCGTTACAAATGTGTAAACCTACAATCTGAATGAAGTTGGTGCTCTTAATTCTATATCGTATCTACATTTTGATCGCAATCACAATGCAAAATGACACTAAAAATTCGGTTAATAATACTGATAAGATAAACAAGATGTCAGAGAGTCAGCCAGCCACAACATAGAACTTCATACATACGCATATCAATTCAAGTTGCCATACCACATTAACACAGAGATGCAATTGTCAATTCAAATCCCATAGTAGTAGAGGTAGTAGAAATAGAGGAATTCAATGTAATAGAGAACACTAGAGATCGAGCATATGATGTGAGAAGTTTAGTCCAGTTAGGTAAATTTAAAGGGAGGAAACAGGTCATGAGGAATTCAGAAGATTACAATTTGAGAGAACACAAAGAATGGATGCATCGGTGACATTGCAAACGATTCCGAGCCATATCGTTCAAGGTCCGTAACCATTGGTTAGTATTGTCTCGCGGACCCCAACCAGCTAGTTTACATCCAACAACATGACTCAATCTACTTGTCAATGACTTCATGGATTTGTGCAATGTTTTGGTCTGGTCGCACCTAGCTTTCTTCTAGCCGACCACTACCTCGGAAAACATTGCTCATCGAGGCAGTCGGTGGTTAGGCAAACGCAACACGTTTCCCAACCACTTCAACCGATGAAATTTCACTTTGGTACACCTTCCAATGACATAGTGTCACAGAACCTCCCAATCAACAGAGTTGAACTCCGCCTGAAACATGATGTTGATTATTATAATGTGAAGCGGTGACTCAGTAGCTAAGGTGTTCAACTTTGAGCCGCTAGATAGAAGGCTGGAATCCACCTCCACATAAATCACCCTTGCCAAAGTGGTAGTATTTTTATGATTAATACTTAAAAGAGCGTGCGAAACGTAACTGGTGAATAAGTTAGTAACATTAGGTAAACAGTTTTACTGAAGAGTCAGTAGATTAAATTATTGATGACTTGAACGGCTATGATAGTAGATAACGCAAGTTTAAATCCCAAGAAGAGTATCCATTCCGTCAAAAATGCTACCTTGAATTATTGACAAATACATGAAAATTATATTCAGAAACACACATTTTAAAACCATTTATAGTTCTAATCTAATAAATTACTGATTTGTAACTTATTATTTATATTCATTTGCACGATACATATAAGTTTACTTGTCTTCAGGTTATATATTAAGTGTGTGGAGTAGTGATACTAGTCAGTGGCTAAATGTAAAAGAATTTAAACACAATTAGGATAGAGAACGAGACTTTTATTTTCTGTTAAAATTTTAAATATCACGTACAACAACAAGTTAAAAACATCTTTGTTTAGTCATTAGAATATTTAAAACAAAGAAGAGAAAACGACTCATTGCCACCATAAGGGAAATCGAAAACAAAAAACGAATCTAATGCCCAGCTCATTTTTTTATGTTGTATTCTCCCAAATACAAACACAATTCTGAAGTAAATCATCACTAATTGGTATTATATTTACGTTGGCTTCTCTAAATGCCCTGATATGGCATGCTCTAATATGGCCAGATATATACAGTTACTGTCAGGGCAGTCGTACTCCGGCTACTCCAAGCAGGGGTGTTGTTTGCTAAATAAATAGGAGGGAAAGAGAATGTCCGGTGTTCGAACCACGTTAATCGCCGTGGAGGATCCAACGACAGAAGTAGGGAAACCCTAGTTTCAAGCCAACGGTACACATGGACTGCAGGAGCTTGAGTTGATAAATGGTGAATGAACATATTGTCAGTCATTGGCTACTACTGACATTGCTCCATTGCCCTGTGATTTAGATTAGACTTTTAGATCAAAGGCTCAAAGAGTGACGCTCTAGGAAAATTACTTCTGAGATGGTGAGAACGAAACTAAATCATAACTATCCACCTGAGTTACAAATTTTCTCTCTCTCATAATGAATGAATCTTAAGATTAACTAACGTGCTACCCTTCGATTTCCGCGTACAATTTACTTATATAACTACAGACTAGTTTCGCTTTATAGATGATGCCAGTTCGTGATGCGAATGATTGCCTTAACATTAAATCCCATAATAAAGCCAGGAATAGTGCGAGAAATGTCGGTAATTTTTGGGTATCCTTATAAGAGTTTTGGAAGACGGATGATCTCGATTTATATAGATGAATTTATAGATTGATGTATTTTGTCTATTTATTTACAGATTTGCCTATGAAAGACTCTAATAGATGCATTAAACACGTAAAATCTGTTTCAACTTTGTAATATTACTGTTTTCGTTTCTATTAGCGATTGATTTGTAAAAGTTGTTTTGTGATTGGCTAAGAGTTGGTTGGAAATTCTTCA